AGTTGGGGGTCCCTGTGGGTCTCTGAGGTCTGGGGCATCCTGGGAGGTTTGGGGGCAGCTGGTGGACCCAGAGGAGGTCCTCGACGTCCCCCCGATCGTGCTGGGGGTCTCGGGGTGCCGATGGGGGATCCCTGTGGGTTCCCCCCCCAAGACCCCTCTGCCCCCCAGACAGCAGCGAGCAGCAAGTGCGGGGCGGCCTCCCCCTGCCCGGCTACGAGATCCACGTCCTGCCCCCTGCCCCCCGAGCCCCCCGATTCCTCTTCACGGTCAGCCCCAGCCCCCTGAGTCCCCCAATCTGGGGGTGCCCTGGGTGAGGGGCACAAGGCCTGGACACCTGGGTGCCATCCACCGTGGGCCCCCCCCATCCCTAGGCTGAGCACCCCGGGATGCGAACGTACTGTCTGGGGGCCGAGACCCCCGAGGAGCTGAACGCCTGGGTCTGTGCCCTGCGCCAGGGTGCATCGCCCCTGCCCGGGTGAGCGGGGCACTGGGGGGCACCGGGGGGCCTGGGTCCATGGGGAGGGGGGTATGGGGTGCCTGGGTAGTGGGGAGGTTGGGGTAGGTTTGGAGGATCGCAGGGGCAGGAGGTGGTTGGGGGCTTTGGGGGGGTGAGAGAGGGTTTGGGGGGTCTGGGAGGGTCACAGAGAGTTTTGGGGGGGTGCCTGTGAGAGTCACAGAGGGTTTTGGGGAGGGTCTGGAGGGCAGTTAACTTCTTAACTCTTCTTTCTTTCCCTCCCCTCAGCTCCCCCCACTCCCTCTCCCTGCAGATGCCCCAGGAACCCCAGAGTGCTGGTGCCCCCTTGCCCCCGTTGCCTTCCCACCCGGGTGAGGACCTGAGGAGCCCCCCTACTCCCCCTCCTCGCCGCCCTCCAGTCCCTCCACTGCCCCCCAGCAAGGTGAGCTTGGTGGGGGGCCACTGGGGTGCTGACCCCCCCCAGGGTGACCCCCAAACCAGCCTCCTACCCCCAATCTGTGGCATTTGGGGACTGGAGGGGGTGGAGTAGGTACCCCCAACCCCCAACCTAACCCCAGATGCACCCCAAGCTGCTCCGACACCCTCTGTCCTGGGGTCCCATAGGTGGTGGGGTGCCCCATGGGTGCTGGCGGGTGCCATGGTGCCCCCAGGAGCAGCAGCTGAGGGATCTGGCCAGGGTGGCACCCCCATACCCACTGTGGGGGATTCTGGGGGGCCCTGTTACCCCCTCCAGCAGAGTACCTGGGCGACCCCAAACACCCCAGGGCAGGACACCCCACAGGGCTATGGGGCAGGACGGGCCATAGGCCAGGCTGGGGGGCTATGGGGCAGGATGGGGGGTCTAGGGGGTGCGAGTGGGCTGTGGGGTGGGAGGGGGCTATGGGGCAGGC